GGGGAGAGAAACAACCATGCCTTCCGCGCGCCATCTTTGAATGAGTGTTAGTTCCCAGTGCCCCAAAACGTCCACAGTGCGCGGCCTCCTTTCTCCTTGCGGAAAAATAGGGCCCCGGTGGGTGCATGTGTTTGTTGTTAAAAAAAAGCGCAATAGATTTCCTATCTTTTTTAGCGACGTCGTAGCTCAAATTTGAAAAAAAAGTCCATTTATAAATGGGGATACATTTTTAGAGGGGTTGGTTTGACAGAAGAGACTGAAATTCGAGGACTGTAATAGCAGAAAAAGCAAACAATAGTGGGCGCTTACTCGCTCTGTTGTTTTCTTTCTTTTTTGTTTTGTTTTGTTATTTTCTGGATTTAGTTAGAATAACGAATTAGCGGCGTCAATGAGGATAAAAAACCGTTAACTGAATTGTTCTGTCCTATTTTGACTTGGCATCTCACTGTTGTAGATGCCGCTGTTTAACTAGTGACTAAATCCTACAAGTTCATATCTTTAGAGATTCTGTCATTTCAGACTGTTTTTCTTTTGCTTTTTACCTTTTGCTGTACCGTCCCGAACTCGAATAATCGCCACGGCGCTAATTAAATTTTTTCACAACTAAAATTCGGCGCTTATTGGAGGGCGACGATTATTTGAAAGTTGGACGGGAAAAGCAATTGTTTTCACTAGGTATTATAATTATCGGTATTAAACTTACAGAGTTTTAAAACGGGACCGGGTCGCGGCGCATATTCAGGTGCACAGCTTATAAACTAATTATTATCCCAAATGCGGCGCTTATTCGAAGGCGGCGCTTATTCGAGTAGATAACACATTTTAATTTTGGTTGGGTGAAATTGTCCGAGTTTGTAGTTTCCAATGTTACAATCAGTAATTTACTCCAAATGCCATTCGTCTACGCTTTTTGCTAACCTGCACTCAGTGCAGGCGTATAACGTATTTCCTCGAACAACTGACCGGGCGCTTATTTCAAATTTCAGCTAAAAAGATGGGCGGTTATTTGAAGGAGGGCGCTTAATCGAGGGGAGCACTTATTACGCTTTCCTTTAAACGAACTAGAGAATGATCTAGTCGCTTACCAAGGGCGAGGCAATAGAAAAAATCATTAAAAGAAGAGTATAGCGCACTTATCCGCGGGGAAGCTTATTTGTGGTGACGCTTATTTGGGGGAGGGCGCTTATTTGAGGAAATACGCTATTCCGAAACCCGAGTGAGTTTTAGCGCTCGCTGCGTCTCTTAGCGTTTCCTAACTATCAGTTATCAAGTAACGGTCCGTTCTGTAAGATGTTCACCGCCTGGCCGGAGAAAATGTGGGTTTTTTGCATGAACCACAACAGAGAACTGATTTAAAGTTTGCTGACCAGTTAAAAATGAAATCAACCACATGACAGAGTGTATTTCACGTTACTTGCTGAACTTGCTCATAATTTTTTTTCGTTGCGCGCGCAGAAACGTACTTTTCCACCGGAAGATTGATTGGCAACTGAGACTGATTGGCCATTATGAGCGCGTGCATTCATTCTCCATTGTTACATCATAAAAAACTGCTTAAGTTGTAAAGAAAATTTCACCTGCTTTGACGGTTCGTTCTTGATGGTTCGTACACCTTGACATATTGTACACATTAAGACGAGAGAGAAGAAAAACAGGTAATCAAAGTGGGTAAGTGCATTTCTACAGAAAGAACTTACATTTTATACATCGAAGTCTCTCCTTTCTTAGTGAGAGGCAGTGGAATGAATCTTTATATTTCATGTCCTATGTGATCGTTTCAAACGAATTTTTTGCTGTTGAAACAACAACAAAAATTAGGGGCGATAATATTCCCTAGCGTTTTTTGTTCCCTTTACGTTTAAAAAGCGCCTTACCATTGATTACCAGAACTGATGACAGACCCGCATTGCCTGACATTAAAACTACTTTGTTAGTTGTTTTCCTTTCAAGCAATTACCGCTAAATGTCTTTCCCTTACGCAAAACCAAAGAACCTACAAAGTTTTTCAATAGTTTAAAAAACACCGTTTTGAAATTGTAAGATCGAACAGTGAAGAATTCGGACAATTTTACAGACACTTGAATTGCAAACAAGTAACCTTGTTCTCAAGCATTATATCTTCCTTTTGTCGGAGAAAAATTAAAAAGGCTTCATTGTCTCTAAAAAATTACTTCTTCTGAAAGCACGATAACGGTAGCTGGTGACCAGGTCTACCCGTGTTTTCCTGCTAATTAGTCGGTTTACGGGAATATTTCAACTTTTCCTCTGAAAACATAGTTTCCGCCCATTTTAAAAACGTCGATCACGTGACTGTTGATGTTGTTTTAAGTTATCAGGGATCTCAACGCCTTGTAGAGAGGAGAGGTATGACGTCACGTCACCATGGTAGCACTATTTCTGGATGACAACAAAACCAACGACGACGGCGACGGAAGGAAAACGACAAAAAAGTAAAAGGTTTTTATTGAACAAACGACAATTTTGCACGTGCATCACGCTATTTTGTACATTTCTTTGCCGTCGTTGCACCCCTGCGAAATGAAACTTCCTAATTTCACATCCTCGCTTTATGAAGTCGGTGTTGTCTTTTTGTTCTTCTAATCTTAGATACGGTCCTTTCGGATTCAACCCGAGAAAATTTCGCCAACATTTGCCAAATTAAATGAAATTAAATAAGATCGATGAAGTTTGAAGCCGTGCGAATTCACTTTGTAAGTGACTTTTTCGGTTTGTTGTCATCCAAACATTTGTGCTACCATGGCAACGTGACGTAACGAATTCTCCTCTCTATTCGAAACATGTTTAATTAAACCAGGTTCCAGCGACAGAGAGATACAATGGTCTAATGGCCGAGTGTCCCAAGATATAGGGTCTCTATAAATGCATAAAAATAGTCTCTGAACACAAGACAACTTATTTTTTAACCTTAAATGCAGTCCTTCGGAATTCAACTCCAGAAAAAATTCACCAGCATTTGACAAGCAAAACGACATGGAATTCACTTTGTTAGAGACGTTTTCGCCACCGTCGTTGCTTGACTTCGCAATTGTCAACTGAGGGTCGATGTTCGTAAAATCTGCCTTTTAACCTTTGTGTCACATAAGGCATCCGAAATGGCTTAAAACGATAAAGTAAAATATTATCAAGCTTAACGGTTTAACCCTTCTGTAAATCAGTAGGTTTTATTCACTATTCGCCACTTTAGAAAATACCATAATAATCTTTTTTGTCCCCACAAAATTTTGCATAACCATTCTTTTCAGTTTCTCTTGGGAATTAGAATCGTCCGAAGATTTTGGGGGGACAAAAGATTATTATGGTATTTTCTAAAGTGGCGAATATAGAGATCTAAAGTGTGACGACATGCCCTGAAATGCTAATTTTTGGCAAGTAGGCCTGTGGATGTTGTTCTTTCAAATATCCTGACAAATCCCATAATTTCACAAATTTAATTTTTATGACGTCATCAATTCAACGACTGGCCTTTACTGGGACACCTTGAAAAAGTTTTGACAACAAGACTTTGAAAACCATTACACTGAGCCAAAATAATATGTTTTACAAACACATCTCATCTTTACTTCACAATAATCAAAACAAAGGCACTCTTGGTAATGGCACGACGGCTTTAAACAGTGAAAACATCTTCAAAAATACTCTTACGATTTACCTGGTACCTAAATGTTCTCGTTAGTTAAACAATTCATTCTTAATATAACGTAAATCCTCTATAAAACCCCTACCATTTCAAATTAACTCCCTTTTTTTACCTTTTTTTTTAAGCCCCCCCCCCTTCCTCGCCCCTTATTCTTCAAAACCAAATTAAAAAATGATAGACAGTAGTAGTTAATCACTATTGTAACACTTCATGTGGACTGATCCCGTTTGGTTTGATCTTCTGCTACATGACCTTCAATTTTACGTGCTTGAGCTTTTCAACTTTGCATTCTAGTTCTTTGATATCATAACATCTTCTGGCTGTCGGTTGTTTCTTTGTTTCCTTGTCTAAAACAAAAAAGAGGGAGCCGTAACTCTAGTCTTTGTCTTCATTGTTTTGCTGATGGTACCGGTAATTCGTTTTGTTAAAGTAACACCCTCTCCCTCCCTCCTTCACCTCTACCGCGCTTTAAATAAATAAGGCCCCCAGTGGGCTTTATAGAGGATTTATGGTAAAAGAAAAATCTATATAACAAAAAGACGAATTAATATATCTTTGAGTTTTAAACTGATGTAACAAGTCAAGAAGATGATAAAAAACTAATAAAAAGTGGGGGTCACCGTGCTCGGTTTGACGTCACAATGCAGGCAAATGCTGGCTATTTTTGGACCTTTGGACAAAAACCGCGCGCAGCCCAAAACTAGACAAAAAGGAAAGATTTTTTCAATGATGCATGTGGTATCGCACAGAATTTGACTTCAATGTATTGTTGATCTACTTACGTACCATAAAAATGCCTTTTAATGCCCTTGTTTTTACTTTACGCTCTTTCCGCTCTTGGACACGCGCTATTCGACACGTGATAGCTCAATCCGTACAATCTAGTAAAATTGCCAAAAAACTGAACATAGATTTGTGCCAATTTTTTTCTCACCGAAAGGAAGCACTGTCCTTATTAAAATCATGAAATAAAAAATGGGAGTCACCGTACTCGTTTTTGCGGTAGAGCGGCAGAAAGTGAGCACCAAATGCATTTTGCTTGATTTTTGAGAGAGGACTGGGGCGAGTTTTAAAATAGAATGTACGTGAAAGGGGGAAGAAAGTATTAAAAAATCCGTTTTTACAGAATTTACATCTAGATATCACATTTAGGATACAATGTGATAAAGAAAGCGTTTTAAATGAAAATCAAAGTGAATAAGAACAAATTAAACATCCACTATCGAGGTTCTCCGCGAGGAAGTCGAACTCAGCAACACGCGTACTGCTTACGTTATGCACATTCCCACCACACTGAGTCTCACCTCGGCAAGAAACAACCGCAAGCAAAAATTGCAATAGCGTCAACTTCAGTTTAATAATGTTACTTCACATGCTCTTTTTTACGGAGGCCATCTTGTTATGCGCAGTAAGAGATGCGCAGTGCAAAACCAGGGAATCAACTTAAACGTTTACACTTACAGTGCATAGAAATTACCAAAAATATAAAACTATATCTCTGAGTTATTAACTCTAAGCTTTAAGCCACATCGACCTTACGAAATTACTTGAATTAGATCATATTCTTAGTAAACTACAAATGGGATCAGCTTTGTTAAAAGTTTACACTTACAGTGTATAGAAACAGCTATGTTAAACGTTTACACTTACAGTGGTGACGTCAACAATCACATTGCTGAACACCATTTACAGACGATACATCAAATCGACTGGGACTCTACGACATGTACTACGTATTCTACAGACTACTATCAACGACTTACTTTAGAAAGCTGGTTTACTAACTAAGAGCAAACGCCACTGAATCGTAGCCAACAGCTACCGGCACCGTACAAAAACGACTTGTTGACGAATCAAGCAGAACTAACTAAGAGAGAACGACTGTAGAACTGACGATTTGACTGACAATATTTTTTCTAATTACTTGACTAGGGTGATTAGAGTGCTTATATTATCAACCAATATTGTTTTTCCATATTTTAAACAACGCATATAGGTTTATGAACTTTTGACCACAGCCCTCTTCCGGCTGTTATATTTAACTCTCTAATTATAAGAAAAAGAACATTGATTTAATAATTCCAAGCCGGGGTAAGAATATTGGTTTTTTTTCCTCAACAAATCCTCCTCCTAGGAATTTTCCCAGTAACTTTAAATTATGCGAGCCGATAGAACTCAGCAAAGCGCTATTTAAAATTATACTGTGGATATTTCCTGGCACTAATCTTTTTCGTTTCATCTTACGCAATGTACGTTAAAAGTAAGCTTTTCTACTATTTTTTTTTCTACTTTTCACTGTGTATCATTAGAGGAGAAAGAATATCATCCTTACATTACTTTTTTCTTCTCCTTTGTACTCAATGTGATGTATTTTATGTACCATCCTATGTTAAGATACAAAAACTAATCTCAGAAAGATGATTTTTCAATCAGTGATACAGGAGGATCGTAAGAAAAATTTCAAGTACTCCAATAATCTGCTACTAAAATATCATATTTAGCGACTAATATACAACACAATCACTGATGTAAAAGCCGTCTAATATTTTACAGTTGATCGGCGATTACGGGAATCCCACAATCGCTTAAGACTTGATAAAGTTCTCCCACAGACATGTAACGCTTATTCGCGACAAAGGCTAAGAGAGCTTCAACTGGATTCTTGTTACGCTCATCAAGAAAACGGATCTCTCCGGGATTCAAACCCAATTTCTCAGCAACAAACTTCCACTTATCGCCGTCCGCAACTACAACAAAGAAAAACCGAAACATCAGCGGTTGCCTGACAACAACCTAAACCTAAACTAACCTAGCTACGGTTGGGTAAGCTGATTTAGTAAAGCGCTGGCGGGAGGTCGTGGAGTTCGATTCCGGGGGACGAACAAATACTCGGGAAAAGGCCTTTCTCCTAAAGACGGCTAGATCGTTGCGTGGCCGGTTTGCAACACGAGACGCAAAACCATGCCCCCAATTTGTACTTGCGTACCAATGCATTAAGACTAAATAAGGCAGTTTAAAATGATAATGATAATGATAGTCTTAATAATAATTTTTATACATTGTAGAGTCAACTCTCTTTATAGCAGACACTCCAGGGACCTCGACTTAGCGTCCTGATTAGCGAGAGTCCGTAATAGGGGGAGTTCATTTCAGTCAAATGTCTGTAATTTATTGTTTCCTGGGACTTAACTGCTGTCCGTATTATCGGGGTGTCCGTTATAGCGGGGTGTTCGTAAGGCGAGAGTCGACTGTACTCACTCTTCTCTCTGGCTAAGATCCTATATGTACACTTGATTTTGGAAATCAACGCAACTTACAGATTAGTAAGTTATCTACTATCAGATTAATGACTAATTTGTAGGTTGCGCACGCAATGCATGATTTTCAAGAACAATGACAAAATGTGTTCCGTGCGATGGTGTGTTTTTTGTTACTTTCTTCGAAACAGTGTATAACAAAACAGTTCTTAGTTTTGGTTTTTGCGATACCCGTAATAATAATAATCTCGGTGAGCGTTACCAGCTTCAGCCTTCGGCTCGGCTGATAACTTTTCCTCGACCTAAAGAAAGTATTAATTTGCTCACAAAATAAAATGTCAGACAGATTGAGTTTATCCTGAAATCCATACCAGTCAAGTCGATACTAAGCTGTCTTGCTTGCGAAATAGGGATGCTTCTCACGTCCAGGGATTCAGGTAATAGTGGACCTGGAATCAAGCATGCATATCAGTGTGTAAAACTCATTTGTTAATAGCCCACGTTTGATCTTTCAAAACTCTTACATGACTCCAAGATCATAGGTCATCTTTCCTCCTTCAAATGAAAGAGATAAGAATAATCCAATGAACTTGAAATACATTAGCACGAACGCAATTAGACAATAAGCGATCCTCGAGTATAATTAGAGCAAAGTTCAATAGGGTGTAAAGTGAAAACACTAGACCTACTAGGAATGATTATGAGGAAACCTGAGAAACACTCACCAGTAGTCCCAGCAGGTGTAATTTCTCTTAAGTATTCCACCACATCAGGTCTGTTACAACGACTAGCTTCTCTAGCCAAGCAGCGGATCTGTTTCTTGGTGTCAGAGTCTGGCTGTTCAAGAGAGGCATGATCCAACTGCAGAGTCTCCTTCAGTTTGCTAACAACCAGTTCGGCATCGCACGACTTGGACGAAAGATGTTGAAACACACTGCTACGAACTGCCAATGCCTTTTCTTGGTTTCCTAGAATTAAAACAATGCCACACTCACTTAAAAACATGAGAAAGTAATAGCATAATTTTTTCTCTGGTATAGAGTGTTTTCACATGACGTCACGGCGGCCATATTGGTGTCCCAAAACAATGAAACGGCGGCCATGTTGGTGTCCCAACCAGTCCTGTGAGAGTTGAACTCTTTTCTTATGTAAACGCTTTCTTTTGTTCCAATAAATTTGCATATATGCTGGCCACGTGAGTGAAAACACTCTATATCGTTATAAAAAAAATGTGGTCGAACAATAGCTAAAAAGTTCGCAAAGGTGGGGGACCGGATTAAAAGTATCGTCTATACACTCTTTCCCGGAGATCATTCCCTTTACGTTTCTAATCAAAATGTCGTTTGCTTATAAAGGAATCTCACTGATATTTTTGTCTCAGCCTTCTAGATTCTCGTCTACCAAGGTGGATAAAGTACCGGAGGCTTCATCCCGTACACGTCTAACTAAAAAAAACCTCAAATAATCCGCCACGACGCAAATGACAATGACAATGCAGCAATGACGTGAAAGTCTTCCAGTATGAAGCAAAAAATTACAAGACCATCAATCGTGCGTTTGTATCGACACAATGAGTGTTGTTTTGTGGAGAAAATGTGATTTAAAATTTGCTAATATGGTTTGTTGTGTTTTTTAAAACGACTATTAAAATAAATTCATTTTGACATTATATTACCTAATTATGACATCAAAACTGTACGTCAATGATAGACTTGGTGTGACTGTGTAAAAGTATCGTCCGCGGTAAATCTACAGGCTACGAGCCTCCAAGCCCAGTCCAGTCCCAAAAAGCCAAGTCTAAATAGGGTTTAGCCTCATACAAAAATAGTGCTTAATTTTTACACCGATCTGATTTTGAATAAAATTTTCGTACACTTCATAAAGTCAGTTCGTGGTTTGGCACATCTAAACACAAAGCTACACTTAACGGTTTCAGTTACTCCTATACTTTGCGAACTCCTCCCTTTGCATTCGTCTGTTAACAAAACGGTTTATTACTTACTAGGTATTTTCTCACTGATGGTTGTTTACTCATTATCCTTACCTTCACCAAGATCAAACTGGTCTCCGTCACATTCATCAGTTCCAAGCTGTAACTAATAAAAAGGAAAAAATAACACTCTTTTCTTCCTTCGTTCAGAGACAGCTGACACTACTTCAATTTCAGTGCCAACGTTTTAATTTTAGCTCCAAACTCCGTGACTTTCCTTTCAGCGTTTGCTCAACTGTCATCAGTTAACGCGAGCTTCTTTTACCAGGATAATTTTTCAGGTGCTGCAGGTTAAAAGTTTAATTTGGCGAAACTGCTTAAATTACAGATTGGTTACCGTGGTCAGGGGAGGGGGCGGGCGGGGATGTATAGAGAATCTGAGATTAAAGAAATCTCACGTGACCACACCACATCTTTGGAGCAGGAAACCAACGGTAAAACTAGCTGATCTCAATTGTGGTGTCTCTAGCAACAGCGGACCTCCTGCAGGAGATAGCTCTAGTGTCACCAAACAATTCAGACACAGTCCAGAAGTGAAGGCATTGTTCCTGTTTGCATATTTTTGCACCATGGGTTTGACAAAACGCAATTTCCCTTTCTTTGGAGCAGAGGGGACATATGACACACATTTCATATTTTCCAGCCAGGGAAACTGATTGCGCATACACTCGAGAATTAAGCTCAGCTGTCTACACACCTTACAAGCACAGGTTTCCTCTCCGCTGCTTGGTAGGGAAAGTGCTGAATTCCCTCCATGAACAAAGACCTCAACAGACGAGAAGTGACATATAAAAATAACGGAGCACGCATCTTCGGAGGTATAAAACGTAACAAAACCTATAAAGAGCTGAGGAGTCTCTTCTGATTAAAATCTTTCTCCGCCCCACTGAATGAACTGTGCGACCAGCCGAGGGAAAAAAGCTGGAGGAACTTCACCACTTGAAAATTTGACAAAAAGGGAAGAAATATTGGCCGACTCCACTAGCTCGGAAAGCTCACTTGTTGGACATGACATTAACATTGACGGGAAAAGATACTGCCTGTTGCTCGAGGCATGGACTAACCAAGGGCATAATAAGAACTCTCCAATGTTCTCTGTCTTCAAACAAGGGGCCCCATACATGAGCCACAAGCTTTTCATCAAGTACTCCTTTAGACTCAAGCATACGCCACAGGTATAAGGATTCCTTTTCTTTAGGATCATACGGCTTTACAGCTATCACCTTCTTGAAAACATCATTGACCATTGAGGATCTAGGACTACCAATTTATTCAACTGCACCGTGTCTTCGTAATGAATCAAACTTCTAATGTCGTGAAGACAGTTCAGCAAGGTCTCAAACTCTGTCTCGTCAACAATGTTGCAGTCGTTTTTCGCAAAGTCCTTCGGGGTCTCCAGGGAAATGCGTTTGTTTTACCACTTCTTTTTTGGCCTGAAGAGCCTTCTCGAACTTTAACCAGTTGATTGGAATGGTATCATATATATATGAGAGGAAGCTCCTTAGCAACAGCAATTATTTCCTGTCTTAGACGGACAACCTTCTGCACTTCAATAATTCCAAAATCAAGGAAATTTGTATCTGTATTCTGTTGAGTGGTGTTTGTTTCACAAATAACGTCATCTACGAAGCCACAGTCACGACAGCATCCGAATACAAGTAACTACATCGGCATGACAGAAAACGACTTCAAAACAAGATTCAACAACCACAACCTCTCTTTTAGGATCCGAAACCACACACATGACACTACTTTCAAAATACATCTGGGAACTAAAGGACAACGACACAACAACATCAAGTGGCGTATCATCAAGAGGGCAAACGCCTACAAGGGAAACCCGTCACGCTGCAATTTGTGCCTTTCCGAGAAACTCTGTATCTTGACTGGCCGCGATACTCTCCTAAATACACGATCTGAGCTGGTAATCAAGTGTCGTCACGAGAACAAGTTCTTTGCAACCAATCACAGAACGCGCTGTTCCAAGCGTCCATGAATTTCAAATTTCCACCTTAAAACCGAAATCTGTTTTCAGAATTTTTAGAAGGTCTGAATGCAGGGGGGGGGGGAAGGGGAATCTACTTGTCGCTTGTCGGTTAAAATGCAGTTATTTTGTCGGTAGTCGGTTGAAATTTTCCATCTTTGTCGGTTGTCGGTAAATCTCAGTTAATAAGTAAAAATGCATGTCAATTATTAATATTTTCTATGTATTTCTCTCACTTCAAGACTTTGATCCCTATAAAACGTGTACACATTGTAAAACTGCATCATTTGATTGTCCTTAAACTTCATATTATATAGTACCGATAAAATCACTACAGCTTTTATCGCAAATGCGAACTTGGTTTCCTTGTTGATTGCAGGGCACTATAAAAATTAATGAACAGAGGCTTTTAGCGTTTACAAAGTCGTTCGCGTGGCTTGACAGACAACTGCCACGCGAATGACTTCGTAAACGCTAAAAGCCATGCAAGAGAGAAACCTCTGCTCGCGGGGTAGCTCTTTGCCATGATTTTCCTTTCTTGTAGAAAGTAATAGGTGTTTCTTTAAAAATTTAGCAAAGCAGTGGTTGGTTTTGTATGAGGATTCAACTTTTTCTTTTATAGTGGACACCATAAGGGCTGGTATTGTTTCACGAAAGGCAAAATTTCTTTTTCTTCCTCGCCGTTTTGTTTCAGAAGCGAAGATTTCCAGTTTCTGTGTGAATTTTATTTATTTCTGATAGCAATTTTTCTGTCAAACTGTGTTGGTAGCCTCTGTCCATCAAGCGTTTTTTTTTTTTTAATTTAAGATACTTTCCTCAAATGTTGTTTAAGGCTAAGGGCTCCTCCTTTGTTTGTTTAAAATGTGCCTTTAAACATCAAGGATAGCTTTTTCGTGGAATCCTGGCCTTTGTATACAACTGTGTCTAAAAACATTGTCTCAGTGAATTTCGGAGGTGAATTTAATGGTAGGATAATGTAAGATTGCTTGTTCGAAGAAAGCTGTACCATGTCTGGTTTACTTATGTCCCACAGCGAAAAAATGTCATTCATGTCGCGTTTCCACTGCCAAGCAATTGCTTTAAAGACGATTTTGCTTAGACTTTGTGTTTCAAAATATGCCACGAAAATGTTGGCAAAGGAAAACTGCTGTCTTTGTGCCCATCACAGTATCGTGGGTTTGTAGGTGGAGCTTCCCATTAAACTGGAAAGAATTTTCTTTGAGGATTACTCTCTAAGCATTTCTCGCAGGTAATGTGTTGGAATAGCTGGGTTGCTTTGAGGAAATTTTCATACGCTCTGCAAATTATTTCAATACCCTCGTTTGTTGGTATATTTGTAAAAAGACTTGTGACCTTTGTGGCCTTTGTCGCTAGTCGGTTAACCCCATTCACACCCTCTTTTTAGTCTAATGATCGCTTAGTGCGTGAAACTCCGAGTTACAACTCTATTAATTTCCTTCCTCTGTATTTGTATTCGTTTTTTTTTTTCGTGTACAGAAATTGTTCTCCTTCCCATAATTCATGCCCGCTGCGAGTAGTAGTGGTTTTTCTAGGGTCTGGCCTGGAGAAACCACTGCTCCTAGGGTACTGATCAAGCGACCTAATAGGACCTAATAGGTAATCGCTTTCTCGGTATTGTTGCTCTACTAGTAATATAGTATTGAGTATAGTCACTAATGGTTACTTCTCGTGGTGAGTTTGATAGTGTCCGGCAAGAATTACAAGCTATTAGGACGGAATCCCCTAGGAAATTGAGTAATTTTAAAATTCAATAAACAAAAACCTTGTACCGGAATTATTTAAAGCATATTGCATTCTTTTCTACATTTTTCAAGGGCTAAAGATGTAATTAATCATCTGTAATAACACCAAAAAATATTTCTTTGTGGAGCCCGAGAAAATGAACGTCAAATTTTACACAATTACACCTTACACATTAAATTTTCAGAATTTTACCCGTGTTTTCACAATTCTTGTGAAATTTGACATTCTTTTTTTCAGACTCCCGCGAGACATTTTCTGAGGTGTTCTTACAGATGACTAATTACATAATGAGCCGTTGAAAAATGTAAAAAAAGAATGCTATATTCTTTAAATTATTCTGGTACAAGGTTTTTGTCCACTGAGAATTAAAATTACTCAATTTCCTGGTGGATTCCGTCTTAAAGGGAACCTCCACTCTTACTACAGAATAAGTTTAAATCGAATAAAATTATGTTGATAAACAAATTTGTTCGAAATTTGTCCTTAAAAAAGTGTTTATATCAGGAAAAGTGAATTTTAAAATCGCTTATTTTCACTTTCAAATTTCGCGGGCGCCGCCATCTTGACGTGTTACGGTTGCTCTATTGTTCTGACACAAAGAGCTTTTGTTTAATAACAATAGGGCAACCGTAACACGTCACAATTATTCAAGATGGCGACGCCCGCAAAATTTGAAAACAAAAATAGGCGAATCTAAAAGTCATTTCTTTCAGATACAAACGCTTTATTTAAAAATATTTTAGATTGACTTGACTGTAACAGTTATTTCCTGTGATTTAAAGTTATCTGTTTGTTGAAGTGGAGGTTCCCTTTAAGCCAATTTAGGTAAAGCTGTTAAGGTGCTAACTATATTTTTGCAGCAGTGCTATCCTAACCATGCAAAAGCTATAGCGTAAACAAAACCACTTGATAGGAATGAATCTCATCACTAAAGACATGCACCTTTTCATCGCGTGAATCTTGATCTATTAGGGAGTCACGCTAAACACGTTAACACGGTCCGTTAAGCCAGTGCTATCATAATTCATAGGCTGCTACTGTAGCTCTCCCTCGGGGTTGTTGAGACAAAAGCGGGCATGCTTTGCTCGTTCGCTTTCTCCACTCTCGCGCGCCTCATGGATCGTGCAGGCTTGCCCACTTGACACCTTCAACGTCATTCAGCTTGTAACTTCACCACCTAGAGTTACGACTCAATCATCGTCTTTCATTGATGTTATTTTAGCAACAGACACCAACGTTGCCAAGGAAATTAGAGTGGTTGAGTGCCACATTAGTGATCATTATCTAACCTACATTGTGCTTAACCTAACACTACCTAAACCACCCCCAACTTATGCCATCACTAGGAGGTTTCAACAGTACGGTGCGATCAAGTTCCTAGACGATCTAGAACGATTTCCATGGATGGAAAATTCACTAATTAGTGAAAGAGTTGACCACTTTCACCGGAATTTCCTTTGTATGCTAAACACTGGCTAAATAAGCATGCTCCACTTAAAAAGGTTAAGATAAAACAGCTCCAATGTCCTTTTGAGGACGAACAATTGCTATGTATACACCCGGATTTTCAGACATGATTCGACACTAATCACGTAACGTATGGCTTCGCAGTACGTATGACGGTTGCAAAAATAATGGCAGGCGAGAGTTCTGAGAGAAACATCTAGCTGACAAGGAAAGCTTATCACCAAAAGACATAAGTGTAACGAAGCTAGAATCTCGACAAATGCGTTTTACATGAAGAGGAAACCTTTGCTACGTGGAAAGCGGCGACATAATACAACGTGACGACTTGTGATAAACGTGGAGTTCTATTGCCGAGTTCGAATGTATTTCTGTAGGCGATTTCATAATGCAAGAAATATTATCAATACAGTGAAAAGCGAACTAGTCCGATGTTCTTAACAATTATACCTCGAGTCCGAATGGTCTCTGAGTTAATAGCCCATAAGGCCGAAGACCGAATGGGATATTGACTCAGAGGCCATGAGGGCGAGAGGAATAATTGTTTTGGTAAAATCCAACTAGTTGGTCAAAAATATCGAGACAAAACAATTTTAGCTAGCAAAACGCGATTCAGCCGCCAAATAGGCTAACATATAGCCTAGCAGTAGCTCAACCAATCAGAACGCAGCATTGATAAAAGACCACTAGTTGGATTTTACTAATATTGTTTAATCTTCTTCCGTATGACTAGGTTTCGGTATTTTGCCGTTGGTGAATACCCGCGATTTACATGCAACAGTGAGGCAAATTTAGTTAACCAAGAGGCAAATTTGTATTTCCTAAAGTTGGCACTTTTTCGTCCTTACTTAGAAGTACTTTCTTCGTGGTTAAAAAATAACAGGAAGACTTCACGTTTTGCAGAAGAAATCAACAGGTAAATTCATCAGTCTGTCGTTGTGAAAGAATTTGCTGAAGAGTTTGAAAGTTTTGTTTTGTCGACCAAAAAATATCACAGTGTTCGGTCCTTGACCTATGACCCTCGTGAGCTTAAATTTTGCAAAGCAGACAAATAAAACCTTACATAAAAGAAAGCAAAATTTGTTTTTATTGAAAAAGGGTAAAATATAACATTTCTTTAAAGATCAAGGTAGACGCCCAATAAAAAGGTTGAGAAAAGAGCCGAAAAACGTATTGATCGAGACGTCGACACGCGCGATACCATGTATTGTATTGCGATTAGATTGCGTGACTTGTATGAGAGACTGTTGTCTGAAAAGGAGAACAAATTGTGGATCACAGTCCTCTTTTTCTGAATTACAAGAGAAACATTTAAGCTATCATCAAAGTAAATTTCATATTGTGCGCTTTGATTCCGGAAGGATATTCAAGGTAAAATACTGTACTGCTTTGTAACCTCTCGGTCGAATCATGTCTAAAAATCCGGGTGTATACACAGCACTGAAATCAGCTGTAATGAATTCCTTTCAACTGTGGGTGCTAGAGCGGCTAAAGCATCTGCGTCCCTGGCCGTAACGCTTGATCTCCCATCAACTGGTTCTCCTGTGCTCATTGATCAACATACATCTGAATTCGAGAAATTTCATTTTCAAGCAGTTTCTGAGGGCGAAATCCACAGGCTTGATATGTCCTTTCAATCCAACAAGGCTCCTGGTTACGACAAAGTTCCGATTTCTCTTATTAAGGACGCTTTACCATGTATTTTACCACTGAGCACTAACTGACATTGTGAACCACTGTTCCACTCCCAAAGGATGGCGACCACGAGTTAGCAAATAACAATCGCCCTGTTTCTTTACTTCCAGCTATGTCAAAGATATGTGAACGGGACCCGCTAAATCAATTCATTGCATACATGAAAAACAAGGAACGTTGGATTGAACATCAAAGTGGGAATAAAGTTCGACATTCAACTGAAACGATGAATGTTATGATGACAGACAAGTTTCTGGAAGCGATGGACAAGAAGATGCTGACACTTATGGACCTTTTGGACCTATGAAAAGTATTTGACATCATAGATCATGCCAATCTTTTAGCCAAATTGAGTTCGTTGGGGGTCTCTAGTTCAGCACTAGAATAGTTTAATAGCTACATGCATGATCGCCTGCAGTACCCACGAGGTTGGTTCTGAAATGTCCGGAATGCGTAAATCTACATACGGATTTCCACAAGGATCCATTCTGGGACCGGCCTTTTTTAATGTGTACATCAACGATTTGCCTAGCATTCCAGATTATTGCTCCTTAGAATCCTACGTAGATGATTCCAAGTTACATCTAACATTCCCAGTCACGGACATCGACACCGAAACTCGACAAATAATCGAGGGCCTGAAGAAAGTTTTTTCTCGTGGTGCTGTCAAAACAGCCTTCAAATCAACCCTGATAAAACGAAATTGCTCTTAATTGGCACCCGTCAAATGCTGCAAATGTGCCTGCAGATCTGGATTGACATGTTACTTTATTGGGGAAAGAGTTGCGCCCGGTTCTTCCGGGGTCGGCGAAGGACCTTGAAGAGCATGTGGATGCTACATTGGGTTTTGATGACCACATAAGAAGTATTTCACCTTCTTGTTTGTCGAGTTTATGCCAACTTAATAGGGTAAAACATCTTTTAGACACAAACACTGTACTAAAAAGGCTATCAATGAACGAGTCTTTAGCAAACTCTACTAGGAATATCAATAAATTACTGCCTGTTTAAAACTTCGCAGCTAGGAGCATAACCCGTTCGGGTAAATTTGATCACATCACTACCTGTTCTTAGAGAACTAAAATGGCTGCATGTCAGAGACACGAGCAACAAAAATAAGATTGACATTCCAGGGTACAGAACTGCCGCAGGCAAAAGGAACTGTGGAACACCTAACCCAAAAGACTCGAAGAAGTTAACAACCATGACATTCAAGAAGGGACTTATGCGTTATTTGAAATCGTCTCAGTAAGCAGTCTATTTTTAAGAAAAGGTTGCTTATATTACTTTTGTCCCTTGTATCTTGTTAAAATCTTGTGAATATATAGTTTAGTTTTATTTTTTAACGTTTTTTATTGTATATGGTATATTTATGTATAGATATATAATATATTTTTTATACATGATATTGATGTAATTACTTTGAAAAGCCACATATGGAAAGTAATCAAGTTATTATTATTACTCCAGGACCACACAAGGGAGGAGTCACCAGCACTTCTTGTGCGAAAAAAAAAAAGATTTCACATATTTTTTGCAAGTGGACACTAGCAAATTCGTTCTCAGGGTTCTCTCCTACCCGTCCCTGCGGAGCGAGAGAAGGGAGTAGGAGAGAACCCTCTCTCCGCACCCTATCAGTTACATAGCCGTAGCAATGATACTGTTAGTAGAAAGTACATGACGCACCTTTGAAACGTGTTCAATGGCCCTCATCCAAGGTACGAGCGGTTCCTTTTTCAGCATTTGACCCGGCTCACAACAAAGGAGTCTACCGTCCAAAGGTATGTAATGGCCACAGTCATGGTGCCAACATGAACGTTTTTCGTGCCGGGTGCAGGGCTTTGTCTCTTTTCCCACACAAACTGTGCATCGAGCGCACAACGTCTCAGACATTGAATACAGCCAGTGACACTCTTTTCGTAGCTTTTCCAAGAATTCATTCAACTGGCTACAAAAAAAGAAAAGATGTTCAACAGCTTCTATCTGAATCACTTGAAGGACTCGTATGTCAAGTAAACTGGTCCTACCTGAATTGAACTGAAAAGCAAGCTCCCTTATCTAAGGGATGTTTCACAGTATTCACTATTAAAGTGATCACTAACGGGAGATTCAATACTGGACTTAACAGGAGATACATGCCTCATGTACACAAAAAAACACAAGCTACCACGAATGGATTTATAATTTAGTCACGAGTGCTTACCTTAAAACAAGATCATAAAGTTCTTGTGGAGGAGCATTGCCATGGTCTGCAAAAATTTGCAGCTTAATAACTGCCTTGTAGCACAACAATTGAAGAACATGGTTTTCATTGTCCAAGGCAATTTTGGCTTCATTAGCGCAAAGGCTGCGCATATTTTTAAAGTGAGGAGTTTTCCCAAAAAGGACAACCAGTCGGCAGAAAAGTCCACTTGGAACATATTTAGTTTGAAATGTGAGGTATATCGCAGAAGCGTAATCTGTTTCATTTCTTCCCTTTTCTTTATAATAGGTAGTCAGCATACAAGGGACCAGGATTTGCGATTCTCCTGTTTTAGTTTCTTTTGCTTTTTCTGACCACTTGCAAATGAGGTTGAACTTATCCATTAGAGAAATAAAAGAGTCTTTAATAGGACACACATTTTTTTTGTTGCAGGTATAATTAATCAACCGCTCACGAAGAACTCCTTCTTGTGCTAATTTCCTGCGATCTTGTCTTATATACCAAGGTTCGTTCTGATCCGGTTTCACTTTGATAATCTCACACAGTATATTGATTAACCACTGGGGATCCAAGACAATCAGACCAAATTTCTGTTTATCCTGTTCATGTTCGTGGTACACTATTGTTCCACGGCCATGCAAAAAGTACACAAGCTCATCAAAGTCGTCTTCACTCTCAAAAGTGCAGTGGTGTGAAACAATATCTTTTCGAAAAGATTCCTTTCGGAGGTACTTTTGTTTTTGCCAGACAGGTTGGCTAATTTCTTTCTCGACACGATGCCACTGCAAAGGGATTTCCCTCTTGGTATGAGGCATTTTATCAGCCAACTCCAAGATCTTTTTCCGCAACTCACTGATTTCCTCCTGGTCGGCTGATTTTCCAGACTTTGTGTTATCAATCGGAAGACAATCTGCGATGTGTGGTAAATAAGTGTATTCATCGAACACACTTGAGCACTTCTTTTGTACTACAGATTCAATTGCTTGACGTGGATCATCTACACAGTCAGCATGGGTACCGACAAGTATGACCGGAGGATACGAAAGACCATCGCTCTGAAAATTCGTCTTTAAAGAGTGAATCAAGTCCATCCACCTAAATAAGTGATCCAAATTGGTGTCCTCACTATCGCGGGCTGTTGCAGTGAGCTCTTTGTGTCCCACATTGACTCGACATTCTGCTTTTTCACTCAATTTCTTTGTAAGATCAAACACGAGAAGATAAATGTCATATGAGGACATAAAGATTGGATGTATAGCACGATAGATGTCCTGTCCAGCAAAATCCCAAATGATGGGCCAAATTTTTTCATCAGTGTCAGTTTCATTTTTCTCCAGGTATTCTTCTAATACTATGGCAATTTCATCTGGAACGCCAAATGGCTTCTTTTGATTTTGAAGGTCTTGGTCTTCTGAAACAAAAAAGAATAATTTTCTGTTTTATTAGTGAAATTCTTCTAGTATTCACACTAATGCAAATCCAGCCTTTCGATTGTCTGACAGAAACATGGGACTGCACCGAAAAATACTTTTTGAAATCACCAGTGAGTGCTTCCTATATTTGTGATAAAATAAGGGGGAGCAAAAGTTTACAGTCTTGTTTTTCTATCCTATCTGCTGATAAAATCTCAAGTTCGCCTTCCAATTGTTATTTAAAAGCTGTTCGTTTAATAACCGGCCACAGAAAGTAGTGTGAGGAGTGATTTAGAAAGAGGGGCAATTAGAGACAGCATTTCACCACTCTGAAATACAGTTAACGACAAAAACAAAAATAAACCTAGCAAAGTCTGGATTAGCAGCGGCCACATATGTATTAAAGATCCAGAGCCTAGTTTAAGTAAGGAAGAGAAACGTTTGTATTGTTTGCATTCATTTGTTGGTGTAAGCGCGGAAGCGTTTCTTCCAGTTTCTGTAGGTTAGAACAAAAGAAAAGAATCAATCGTCATTCTTTCCGAGGATAGTTATTTTCAGGATTAACTCACGACGGCAGGCATCGATTTACTATCGGAACTTTATGTTATTTTAGGATTTCATCCACAGACACAAATAGCAGGGGCACCCAACGACAATTTTCGGAAAATTATCTGTTCGGAAGACGAATTGAGATCTAGAATTTTCGGATCATTTTTTGTAAAATTTGTTGCTTGCCTGCCTCTCCTAGGATTTTCGAACATCTAAAAAATGGTATAATTGCCCATTTTTAACGGATTTTTACCCTAAAAAGGTCACCTAGAATTTTCGGAAGGCTTGTTTCTGGCTGAAATTTTCGAAAAGGTAAGGTTTGATCCCTATAATTTTCGGATCACTAGACTCTCAGCTAGGAAATCCGAACAGATGAAAAATTTTTAGGGGATAAAAACATGCCTTTGTCTACCGTTTAAATACTAAAATACGTTCAAAAATGCCGCGTTTACGTGGTTTTGAACTACATTCTCGTTGGGTGCCCCTGAAATAGTAGAACCATTTGGTACTGCATAACAAATAGCATCACATCAAATAGTTTTTCTTGGAAGCTTTCATTTGACTTGTCACATTTTTGATTTTGATGGAATCCACGGTTATTTCGAAATTCGGAGCACATTACTGAACTTAGCGGATCATGTTCCAAAGGGGCTAAAGACGCTGTTAAAGGAGTACAAAGCAGAAGCCGTGTTAACATACGATTTTTCTGGGCCTGGGTTTCCTTGACCTCACTAGGAACTTCTTCCTGTTGGCGGAGTTGAGATTTTCCTTCATCAGCTGACGAAATCGGGTTTTCTGTGTGGTTATAGAAAAACAAAAGCGTGAAATGTACGAAATTAGTGTAATACATAGCCTACACAACGCTCACAGATTATCCACCTTCAGGGCTTGAAAGATCGGACGTCAGAGAGACAGATTTCCTCTGATGGCCTATGAGTCTACTACCTTGTTCTCTTTATACGTTCTGTCTATGTTTTAGTACCCCGTTGCGGGACTAGATGATATCTTGTAAAAAAAATCCATTAACTTAAAAGTCCATCCGTGTTTAATTAGCCTATCCCTAGGGAGAGTAAGGGGAAGGGGTTAATGCCACCAATCCAAAGGTTGTTCAGTTTTGATTTTTCAGAACTATTTAATTGCTAGAAACTTTTTCCCTTCAGTAACTTTTTATACATTCCTTAGAAAATTGTGTATAGCGGCAAGCAAGGATCCACACCCGTTTCCACCGTTTTACAAAACTGGGTCAGATTTTTCACAATAAACATATTTTTAATGATAATAATAATAATAATAATAATAATAAGAAGAAGAAGAAGAAGAAGAAGAAGAACAACAACAACAACATCAACAACAACAAGACGCTATGGAGCGTAGACTTCGGAGTCGTCAGTTGTGGGATTAATTGTAAATGCGGAGGAATAGCAAGAAATGATATATTGTGAGAGTGAGGTGTCAATTTCTGAAATTATGGGATTTGTCAGGATATTCTGAAAAGAGCAATATCCACGAGGCCTACTTGCCAAAAACTTAGCATTTCGGGGCAAATTGTCTCTGAGATATTCAGGCCCAGTTATGCTCTGATGACTCCATACAAATCCTTCTAAATTTGAGTTGGGTCTAAACGCTTAGACCCAAGTCAAATGTGAGGTTACTGGCGGTGAGTAACAAGTCTAACAAAACAAACAGTGAAAAAAGAATTCTCTATTTTTTCTTTTTACATCAGTCTTCAGATACAGCATAACAATCTCATGTACTGATTACTCATGTACTGCGGTCAGAAGATGATTATGTCGAAGTCTCCCGTCTTATTAAGCTATTTAATACATACGTTAGCCTCTCTTCGTAGTAATCGATACGTCCTTGCCTTGTTTTATGTTAGTTTATTGTATTTATTGTATAGTAGTGTCTTTACTGTCATTTAGTCCATCTATACACAAGCCTTGTACTTGTAATATGTCTTCAGCTTCCCCCGCCTCAATTAGTTCATAAGCTATTTGCGGTTGGGAAAGTAATGTCATTAGTTATATATTTATCCAATTTTCAATGAAATTTGTTGTTGTTGTTGTTGTTGTAAAGATATGTAAGGCATGGGTAAGGAGTCAATTGCATTGAGCATGGAACTGACTAAAACTCAACGTTACGAGTTCGAATGTTTTGAGGATAATTATTCCCTGACTATCAGTACATACGCACGCCAGGATGTCGGATTAACACAAGGAAGTTTAATACCACAGGAACAGTCTTTACAGGGCTTTAAAACACAGCATCCACCAACACAAACTTGACTTGAACTTAAGTAAAACTAAACAGCCTCTGCCAATAATAACAAACTCTCACTTGAACTTCAGATGTAAACACAGAACTTGAAAATCGACCTTCGTCCGAGGGAAAAAACTTAGTTCGTCGAAACAACTCGCTTGGAACTTGAATAACGCTTCATATAAGGTTACAGAAAATACTAAACAGGCGAATGGTAGTAGCTTTTCAAAATATCGTATGATTTCAGTAACTGATGCAAATCTGCTGACTCATGCTCAAATGTTAACATGCCCTAATTAATTATTCATAAATAATCCAAAAACGTAGAGGTCACGCAACGCATGACAGCAATTTTAGTACGTATCACACAACAAAGACAAAACGTCTTTGTCCAGCATTTTGTAACTTTAAATTCATCATAAAACAGATCAAAAGGAGCGCTTACTCGTGAAATGTTTTTGAACACTCGACGAGAAATTTCGTGTCTCTGCGCGGCCATGTAATATCCTCAATTTATTCCTTGAGAAAATAAAAGACTAAACTCGAAGTGATCTCAAGAAATCTCGAAGTAATTCGGACTCATTTCGTGAAATAGCCGAAACAAGCCGAAAAGTCACAAACTTGCGCGCCCAATCTTGTCCCGATACTAGTGCATAGTTTCATCGCTATTTTTACGCCAAATTAGCTCGGGTCGCAGTGGTGCAATCGGCTAATTCCTCAACTTAGAGTCTCCTCTGATCTGAAGGGTCACACAAGTGAGTCGGTGTAAAACCGCGGGCGAGCCAAAATAATAATTCTTTCTTCCTCGAATACGTTAAAGAATAAATCAAAGAAATCTCAAAGTGATCTCGAGATATCTCGAACTAATTCGGGCTCTCACTTCGTCAAATACCCGAATAAAACCGAAAACCTACAGACTTGCGTGCCCAATCTTGTCCCAAAAATATGAACTTTGGTGCATTCCTGAGCGTCGCCAATCCTTTACTTCGCGCTCCGCCGAAGTAATAAGAATATTTCTTAATAAAAAGAAGATTAAGGTGGTTATTGGTAAAGCAAAGAGGTCCTTTTTTATGACGGTCCTCTCCTCAAAACGCCCTAAAGAGGTATGGAGGGTCATCCATCGTGTGCTTAACCCTATTACCAATCCCCTAAGAGCCGATCCTGATCAACTCAACAAATATTTGATCGGCACTAACGAAAGGACACTGGGTACCACCCCGGATGCAACATCTGATCTTCTGGAGCTAGCAAAGTCATTACCAGAGCACTCACAACGATCATTTAAGTTAGGTCACGTAACTTTCGAGGACGTAATGAACGTAATACGCAACCTCCGCTTAGACTGCTCAACCGGTGTCGATCAAATACCTGTTAAATTCGTTAAGTTAGTAAGTGAGCATATTGCCGGTCCTCTCACTCGCATTATCAAGACCTGTATTACCTCTTCGACGTTTCCTCGAACGTGCAAAACTGCTCGGGTTTCACCCATCCCAAAGACGGATCACCCACAGAGCGAGAAAGGTTACCGCCCAGTATCTATTCTGCCGGCTATTTCAAAAGCGTTTGAGCGGTTAGAGCTGAAACAATTAATTTCCTACAGAGATTTTTTTTCATTGGCACCAAGTATATCTGGTTTCCGCAAGGGCCATTCTACAGTAACTGCGCTGCTAGGTATTCGCGATGATCTCGTGCGAGCTATGAAGAGGGGTGAAGTCAGCTTGATGGTTTTCGCAGACTATTCTAAAGCCTTTGACACAGTTTGTTTCAAGACAGTACTAACCAAGATGCACGCTTTAGGTTTTTTAAACGAATTTCTTACTTGGATGGTCCACTACCTCTCTGATCGCCGCCAGTTAGTTCAAATAGACGACAAGACCTCGTCTATCGAGACTGTACTGTTTGGTGTCCCACAGGGATCGATACTCGGACCTTTTATTTTCAACCTACATGTTTCTGATCTTCAAAAACACATTAAGTGTTCCTGTTACCAGTACCCGGAGGATACAACTTTCTTCGTTCACTCAAAGACGAAGGACTTAGCTAATGGTGTCGTGGAATTAAATGACGCAATATCACGTTTGGGGGATTACTCATCTGAATCAAACTTCGCATTAAATGAAGCTAAAGCAAAGTGGATGTTTGTTTCCACCTGCCAGATGTCTCGAGATCACGCGTTACACGATTATTATCCAGCTGTGAGCTGCAATGGGAAGCTACTAAAACGTGTCACCACAGCTAAGATACTGGGGTTCCACATGGACGAACATCTAACATGGGCTGACCACGTGACTGCGCTTCTTTCATCCTGTTATGCAGCATTGGCGGTTCTCCGGAAACTGTGCAACCTCGCACCATACCGAGTTCACAAGGAGTTAGTGGAGTCATTAGTGATGTCAAAACTGGACTACCGGCGTGTCGTCTTCTATCCCCTTCCCGAATACCAAATGAAACGGCTGCGAAGAGTTCAAACAACATGCGCGGGCTGCGCACTTGGGCGGTATGCTGTTTTAGAGGACTTGAAGAAATTAAACTGGCTTCCAATTATGAAAAGGAAAGACCTAGCACTACTGAAAATCACTCATAAAGCCCTCTACGATGATGTTTGGCCTGATTACTTACGCCTTAAATTCCATACTGTCAGTGCCTATAACTTAAGATCTCTTGAAGCACCAAAGATGGCTACTCCAACTGAAAGAGGCACTTTTCAGGGCTCAGCAGCCAGATTATTTAATACGTTACCTGATAGGTTAAGGCAAGAGCCTGACTATAACAAGTTCGTTAGGTTAGCGAAGAAGCTCATGTTCTCCAAAGGAGAAAGCGTATGACTGATTTTTATTTTCATTATTATTTTTAACCACGCTGTTTTTTAACTGTACATATTTTTTATCAAACCTTTGTACTTATCCTTAATTTATTGTATATATCATTTTTAATTTAAATTCGGTTCGATTTTTTGTACTAATATACTGTAGTTAGGGCATTAGTAGGCGAAGAGCCACGTCGTGGAAGTACTACTAATAAAATCGTGATTGTTATTATTATTATTATTATTATTATTATTATTACTATTATTATTATTACTATATTAGAAGAAGAAGAGGGAGAATAATAATAATAATAATGATAAAATCTTTCCAAGTTGACTGGCTGGAAAACAAATGTTGTTGTTTTTTTTAATTTTCCGGGCATTAGACAAAACCCCCTCCGCCCCCCCCCCCCCTCCCCCCTCCTTCCACCAATGAATCACAAACCCACAAAAGAGGACTTTAAACTTTAGACTTTAAAATTTCCTTGGGGAGCATGTCCCTACACCCCATTAAAAGCTTGAGCCTTCCTCCCTCGCTTGGGAAATCGATTAGTATTCATCATAGATCCGCACCTAAGCGGCCATGTATTAAGCGGTCAGTTTTCTACGGCCCGATTTTTTGCCCATACAAGCGCTGAGCGCGTGTGTTTTCTGGATATTTCTACCCCATTTAAGCAAATTGAAGACATGTTCTTTTCTTCAAAGAAAATTTAAATCTTTCTCGTAAACCAGTGAGCTCCTAAATGAACTTTCCGGGGCCGAACGCCCTCAGAACTTTTAAGAAAGAGCCTCTTGAGCTCAAGGATTCTTTTGAAATAATTATCAGAGAGGAAAGAGAGAGAGAGAGAGAAATAAATTAAAAGAAAATGTTTGGGACGCTTACCATCTTGAACAAATAACTGATCTGTTTTTTCTGATCTGTTAGACGCTTCAGTTCTTGGTCCTTTCTGTGCTGGCTGCTCCGAAGGATTGCTTAATAAATCCTCAGCAGTCTTTGCAGCAACCTTATGATCAAATACTGTTGTGTGTTCAAGAAAAGATGGATTTCTCCACGCGCCTGTTCCAGCATTTTTGATAGCAGGGATCATTTGCACTCCCTCGGTACTGAGTTCGGCTTCATTAAAAGGTTCACCTCTTAGAGCTTTACCGAGGCTCGTTTTGCCCACACGGTCTTGCCCTACGAGCAAAACCTTGACACGTTTATCATATGTGCTACCACCAGTCTCGATTGCCCTTTGGTAAGCAGAAAGTGCCTTGTCTCCTCTAGCTCGCACAAACGCTGGAATCAAATCTGAAAGTATTAACAGAATCGGTTTAACAAATTATTAGAGGTGACATCAGGTTTCATACTGATGTTAAATAAGTTAGTCTCCAGACGCATCATGTATCAATTCTTGCAGCACGTGATGACACTCGTGATGCACTGTGCCCGCCCCCGGACGGAGGCAAATTGTCGCTGTGACGTAAGATTTGAGCGACCGTTAATCACGTCACGTCCAAGAGTCCGGTCAGACGCATCCCGAGAAAGAAAACTCTGATGGAAAAAGTTTAAAATCAAGCGCTTCGCTAGCGGTTGTGATGAAATCTGAGACTCTAGAAGCATAGAAGGAAAAGACAAATTATCGACAGATCCTTTGACGGCAATTTTGGCGAGTTTGGACCATTTTTATGGGATTTATGGAGCTTCGAGCTGGAACGGTCGGCTTCAGGGTCCACAGCCTTCTCATTTTTCTTACTGTTAGTACAACTCAAAATCTGAAACGTCGATAAAACGGCTTCCAAATGGCTCTAGAGGCGAAGAGATAGTAAATGACAAAACACAAACACAAGGTAAGTCATTTTAATTGGAATTTAGGACGTATTTTGTTTATTTTCATACATTCTCTTATAAATTCAAAGCCCAACGAACTCCCACAGAGTTTGGGCTGCCTGTAATATTACGATCTTCGAAATAATGATGAGAATTTAGCTGCCCGAATGTAAAATCTTTCCCGATATAACGATACTATCAGTGCGCAGTCAATTTAAGCAAAGCATTGAATTTAATTAATACAATAACATTAACGTTATCGAGTAATCTTTAACGTTTCTGTCAACTTACTTGGTTTACTTTGGCTGTATAAAACTCTGATAAAAAAAAACCATTGCGACAAAAACGACTAACGAAGGACTGTTGCAAGCTAGCGTGTCATGCACAACAATGCATTACTTGCCGGCCAATGTCTGTTTTTTTTTTCTTTTTTTTTTTAAGAAAAAAAAAATGAACTCAGAAAGTACTGTGTAAACATTCAAAACTTCTGGGTGTTACGAAAACTAAGACCCTCGAAACCTCGAAACCTCGAGACCTAAGACCTAAGACGCGATTACAAAAAGTAAGACCCCCTAAAATCAAATCCGTCGAAATATGAAGTCAAATTGTAATCGAAATAGGTCTAATCTGTCAAATTATCTTCTGTCCGATTCTTTCCACCGAGTTTTAGGTCGAATTTAACAACAAATTTTGGGGTTTTAGTTTTCGTAATTTCGAAAACAAAGACCTCAATAACGAAAACTAAGACCCCCTAAAAAAACAATCCGTAAAGTATATTTGAACTCGAATTACGACCGTTCAAAGACTATAATCCGTAAAACAACCAAAAACTATCATTCATTTCCATTCCTGTGTATTTGACTCTTTTTGTCATTGTTTTTTAATAAAGTTTTTTAAAACGGTTCTCTCTTGTGTTTTTATTGCTCGCAATTATGAGTCGCGTGTTTTAATTGATCCTTGTTAAGTTATTTGTTTTAAAATAATACGTCAAGATTCTCTCCCTTGGGTCATTCCTGTAGAGCTAATTTGTATTCAACTTTAGGCTTGCGAACTCGCATAATTAACTGATTAACCGTGCGTGAAAATGACAAGACTTTCATTTCCTCGAGATAGAAAGGAGAAAATGTCAGACAAACTTGAAATAAAGAGTTTACAGCTCGATTCGACTTGCATGTTTGGAGCAATCTTTTAAAAAATATTGGTGATAGTAATACTTTTTCCTTAGCAAAGCGATTGCGAGAAGGAAATACTGAAGGGAAAGTGCGCTTTTATGTTAAGCACATAATAGATTATTTACTATCCAATCGGGGTTAAAAGAGCCCGGGCAAGTCTAGGCAAGCCTGTTGTTCCTATTGTAGTAGAGTGACGCTCATTAGTAAACCTATCCACTTCATTATATATGGAGGAAGACACTTAATTAGTATGCAGGAAATTCAAATTAGTATGCGGGAAGGCAGTGAGCAGGCTTTTATGCCGTTCAAACAATAAAAAATACGGCAACCAACCAGAATGCTTCGTCAAACGAGACAGCCAATGAGCGTCTTTCTAATTCCGGTCAACCAATCAAAACAACTATGACATCATAGTACCCCGGAATACATATGACATCATCTTCCGAAAATAACTAAAACCTGTCAAACCGGTTATACCAACCATGACATCATCCATCTAAAAATAGCACATGACATCATTGATAAACCCGTCAAACTGGATATACTTAATGAGATTCCACCGCAAGTTAATGAGATACCACAGCATTTTATTCATGAGATCAAGACAATAGCCTATGACGTCACCTAGTTAATGTATTCCTGCGCACGCTAATGAGATTCCTGCGCAAAAAAGAGGTTCATTTCATCCCTCCTATACTACTCAGTCATACGACAAATTTTTTTAGATAATTGCTCTGCTGTTATGTCCAATGGGATTTCAACTTTGCACTTTTCAGAATGAATAACAACATTCTTTGAATTGATGTACTTAACTTCCACTATTACAGTTCGAGTAGCCGCCATGTTTGTTCGTAGAGTAATGTCGCTGACCATTTGATTGCCGACATGCATTTGGCTCCTAGAGGACTGGTAACAGTAACAAAAAAGCCTGCACGAGACTTGATAGAGTCAATGAACTATTTTATCATCACGATTTACCTATTTTCTTACCGGATAAAACTCCATAACGCTATGTGATTTTTGTTTGAACTTTATTCTAAAAAAAATGTTTTTTACTCAGTGGGTTAAAACAAAATTCCTATTCCCATTAATGTTTTGAGTTCCATTCCCAGTACAAAAATCCCAGTCCCAGTGGATCAAATCCCATTTTCCCACCCATATTTTAAGCCAATCCCAGTCCCATTTTACCCCTTCAGGACCCTCTTTAGGGAGATGAGATGTAGATACCAGCACCACCAGCCATTGTTTTAGAATCAGTATTGTAAAATTTGTAGTTAGGAAAATCTATGTTTGCCGTTGAGTTACAGTTGAGTCTATTTCATCGGGCTTTGTTTCAGGAGTCATTCAAGGACATTTATAAACGTTTTTCAGAATGTTCTAGCAGTTTAGCTGCACTGCCAATTTCAGGCCTGGCCCGGAGAGGGGGTTAGTGGGATACCACTGTACCCTATTTTTTCAAGATACCAATATACCTAAAAACTGTAAAACGGTTTTTACCGAATACCTAAAATTGCCTTGAAACAAAGGAATAATTTGACAGTATACTGAGAGATTACAAAAAGATACAGTGTAAGTTTTGGTGCAGTAGGTTAAGAGTTTTTCCATTCCCTCCTTTTCCAGCCCCTGGCAAACTTCCGGTGAGCATACCAAATACCAGACATTTAGGAAAGCAAGATACTTTATACCCATATTATGACACCAAAGTAGCGTACACCTAGATAAAAAGACCCCGGATACCCGAATATTAAAAAACCCTGGCCGGGCGTGCAGTTTTGAGCTAATGTTTGGTACTTTTGGACAGCCGAATCGCAAGAGTTATTCAAAATGGGCTAAACAAAACTTATAACAAACCTGAACTGGTGTGTTGTGTTTCCACTGGTTCCACACCCTCTTTCTCGAGGATCTTCACAAAATTTGATGGTATATACCCTTTGGTGTCGCCACGTTTTGCCAACCACCAATTATCAGTCGTTTGAGTCACCGTGAGAGTATCACCTTTTCTTAGAATCATCTTTTCCGGGTCCTCGGGATCATAATCATAGAGTACAACTGCTTTCTTTTCTGCAACTTACAGCAAAGATATATAGATAACATATAGCAAATTAATTATAAGTCGAGAATTTCCAATCTCGAGTTTTAACACTGGACCTCCCGTTGTAACTCAAGATTTTACTCATAACGCCTCGAGCCATAACACGAAATCTCGTGCTGTTAGACGGGATCTCAACGGAAAACTTGAGATCTCGAGCTACAAGTCGAGATTTTACATTTTAAGTAGAGGGAACTTGATCTCGACTTATAACTCAAGATCTCTCGTAGCCTGCGTGGCTGCCACTTTCAACGTCTGCTATGCGGCTAGATCTCGCGCCTCTTATAACAAGAGATCTCGTGTTAGGAAACTAGATTTCGTATTATAACTATAGATGTCGTATTGAAAGTAGAGATCTTTAATCCCTTACTATAATGAAGTTGAGATCTGGAGTTATAACGCGACATCTCACGTTATGCTATGTTTCGGGATGTACATAATGCTACAGCTGCTGTAAAGGCTGACCTTCAGCAGATCTGTAAATGATGTGCTAAAAATTCATTGCTTTTAAACCCTGATTGAAATGAAATTACTTGTTATTGTGGCAAGTTTGTTGGCTACCTATGAGTTTCTCAAAAAGTTGCTGGCTTTAGAGTGTATGTCAGTTGAGCCATTTAGAATACGACTTCTGAGTCAACTGACTTGAAAGTCATTCAGACAGGTATCTGTGTCAAAATTTAAATATTCTCTACAGAATCTCCCTGGACAGGTGGTCTGATATGTCCATGGTTACAATGCCAGGTATGCTTTGTTCGGTATAAGAGTTGCGGTATGGCTTATAGGTTACTACTGTATCAGAGCATATCAAAGTAATCTTCAGTTTTGGAATGTGAACCTTCTTTTAAAAAGTCAATTTTCAAATCCCCTAAGATAAAGACTTGATGCTTGGATTGAGTTAACAATCTGATGACGTTCTCTAGCTGTGACATGAAACCATCATGATTAGACGAGGGATGCTTGTACAAACATCCAACGATTATGCTAGGTTTGTGTTGTCGTAAGATTTCAATCCAGCAGGATTCTGCCTGATCATCAGAATCAAACTTTAAATCTGATCTAGGAATAGCATTAGGGAGATGAGATGTAGATACCAGCACCACCAGCCATTGTTTTAGAATCAGTATTGTAAAATTTGTAGTTAGGAAAATCTATGTTTGCCGTTGAGTTACAGTTGAGTCTATTTCATCGGGCTTTGTTTCAGGAGTCATTCAAGGACATTTATAAACGTTTTTCAGAATGTTCTAGCAGTTTAGCTGCACTGCCAATTTCAGGCCTGGCCCGGAGAGGGGGTTAGTGGGATACCACTGTACCCTATTTTTTCAAGATACCAATATACCTAAAAACTGTAAAACGGTTTTTACCGAATACCTAAAATTGCCTTGAAACAAAGGAATAATTTGACAGTATACTGAGAGATTACAAAAAGATACAGTGTAAGTTTTGGTGCAGTAGGTTAAGAGTTTTTTCCATTCCCTCCTTTTCCAGCCCCTGGCAAACTTCCGGTGAGCATACCAAATACCAGACATTTAGGAAAGCAAGATACTTTATACCCATATTATGACACCAAAGTAGCGTACACCTAGATAAAAAGACCCCGGATACCCGAATATTAAAAAACCCTGGCCGGGCGTGCAGTTTTGAGCTAATGTTTGGTACTTTTGGACAGCCGAATCGCAAGAGTTATTCAAAATGGGCTAAACAAAACTTATAACAAACCTGAACTGGTGTGTTGTGTTTCCACTGGTTCCACATCCTCTTTCTCGAGGATCTTCACAAAATTTGATGGTATATACCCTTTGGTGTCGCCACGTTTTGCCAACCACCAATTATCAGTCGTTTGAGTCACCGTGAGAGTATCACCTTTTCTTAGAATCATCTTTTCCGGGTCCTCGGGATCATAATCATAGAGTACAACTGCTTTCTTTTCTGCAACTTACAGCAAAGATATATAGATAACATATAGCAAATTAATTATAAGTCGAGAATTTCCAATCTCGAGTTTTAACACTGGACCTCCCGTTGTAACTCAAGATTTTACTCATAACGCCTCGAGCCATAACACGAAATCTCGTGCTGTAAGACGGGATCTCAACGGAAAACTTGAGATCTCGAGCTATAAGTCGAGATTTTACATTTTAAGTAGAGGGAACTTGATCTCGACTTATAACTCAAGATCTCGCGTAGCCTGCGTGGCTGCCACTTTCAACGTCTGCTACGCGGCTAGATCTCGCGCCTCTTATAACAAGAGATCTCGTGTTAGGAAACTAGATTTCGTATTATAACTATAGATGTCGTATTGAAAGTAGAGATCTTTAATCCCTTACTATAATGAAGTTGAGATCTGGAGTTATAACGCGACATCTCACGTTATGCTATGTTTCGGGATGTACATAATGCTACAGTTGCTGTAAAGGCTGACCTTCAGCAGATCTGTAAATGATGTGCTAAAAATTCATTGCTTGTAAACCCTGATTGAAATGAAATTACTTGTTATTGTGGCAAGTTTGTTGGCTACCTATGAGTTTCTCAAAAAGTTGCTGGCTTTAGAGTGCATGTCAGTTGAGCCATTTAGAATACGACTTCTGAGTCAACTGACTTGAAAGTCATTCAGACAGGTATCTGTGTCAAAATTTAAATATTCTCTACAGAATCTCCTTGGTTTTAGCCCTGGACAGGTGGTCTGATATGTCCATGGTTACAATGCCAGGTATGCTTTGTTCGGTAGAAGCGTTTGTACATGAAAATAAGGTCCGAATAAGAGTTGCGGTATGGCTTATAGGTTACTACTGTATCAGAGCATATCAAGGTAATCTTCAGTTTTGGATTGTGAACCTTCTTTTAAAAAGTCAATTTTCAAATCCCCTAAGATAAAGACTTGATGCTTGGATTGAGTTAACAATCTGATGACGTTCTCTAGCTGTGACATGAAACCATCATGATTAGACGAGGGATGCCTGTATAAACATCCAACGATTATGCTAGGTTTGTGTTGTCGTAAGATTTCAATCCAGCAGGATTCTGCCTGATCATCAGAATCAAACTTTAAATCTGATCTAGGAATAGCATTTAGGGAGATGAGATGTAAATACCAGCATCACCAGCCATTGTTTTAGAATAAGTATTGTAAAATTTGTAGTTAGGAAAATCTATGTTTGCCGTTGAGTTACAGTTGAGTTTATTTTCAGTTACAGCAATTACATCAAGTACCGAAATTTTTGGTAAACTTGTCATATTACAACGAAAGAGAAAAGGAGAATCGTTATCTGAACCAGCTAAAGGGTTATAAGTATCAGTTATGGAATAGTACTCAGAACTAGGGGTTGACAACATCAAATGTGGGTCAGATTCATCAGGATTTGGACAAATGATGAACAGGTCAATAACAGAACTGATAAAGTCATTGCCCTTACCGAAAGCTCTTTTCATCTAAATCATTAAATGGTGGTATCCAAATGTAAGATTAGCAGCCACTATTAAATAATTAATTAATCAATAGAAAATCTAATGGGCTAAACAAAATTTATAACCTGAACTGGTGTGTTGTGTCTCCACTGGTTCTAATAGTCCATGAGCCAGGCCATCTCCGATGTACCAGTAAGAGGGACCAGCTAAGAATGATACAAATTTTAAGCTTAGTTGGGGGTGATTACAAAAAGTTATGATAGCAAATCGAGCGCCCAGTCTGTTGAGTTCAACAAAAAATTTCCCGTCCGGGTGGGGGTTAGTATTTTGCTGTTTTTAGCCGTGACACTTCTAAATGAAGTATACATCAGTTAAAAACAACAAAACGGTCAAGGAGTACTGGAAACAAGTTTGAAAAATAAAAAGGATGGCGGCCGAAACGCAGAGGAATTTTTTTTGGCTTTCAAAGACGTTTTCTGGAAATTTTCTTCGCGCTGGTTACCCCTCACGGGTTCAGGTAAAAAAATACCCTGTTTTTATCGCATTCCTTGGTTTAAAAGACTGTGGTGGTTTTAAAGGCAGACGAAAGATGTCACGATATCAGGTGGTACCGTTCGTGATTTCTGCAAACTTTGGTTGTAATCTTTCCGCGAAAGTCTACGCAAGTGAAAATCCATACAAAAATGGCGATTTTTTGGTTGGTTTTTAGCGCGAAAAACCCAGTGAAATCCGATAAGCTGGCATTAATCTTAAATTTGATGGGTTTTGTTATTAATATACTGGTGGTAACCATTGAAATTTGGTTACGAGTAACTCACAATCAGAGACAAAAAACTCTCAGAGTCGCTTCAGTCTTATAATTCCGCCAGATTTTAAAGACCAAATCGTGGCTCGAATGCGGCTTTAGCCTGTTAAATTCCCGGATGTGACCGGGCATTCTACGCGATGGATCTTCACAAAATTTGATGGCATATACCCTTTGGTGTCGCCACGTTTTCCCAGCCACCAATTATCAGTCGTTTCATTTACCGTGATAGTATCACCTTTTTTTAGAATCATATCTTCCGGGTCCATGGGATCAAAATCATAGAGTACAACTGCTGTCTGGCAAATTAATTATAAGTCAAGAATTTCCTATCTCGAGTTATAACACCAGACCTCCAGTTGTAACTCAGGACCTTTACTCATAATACCTTGAGCCATAACACGAAATCTCGTGCTGTAAGACGAGATCTCAACGGAAAACTTGAGATCTGGAGCTATAAGTCGCGATTTCACATTTTAAGTGGAGAACTCAAGTTATAAGAGATTATGGAGAGCTTTTATCTCGCACTATAAGTCGAGATCTTGAGTTACAACGCGAGATCTCACGCTGTGTTATGTTTCGGATGTACATAATGCTATAGCTGCTGTAAATGCTAACCTTCTGCAGATCTATCATCAAATCTCGCTAACCTCCACTGCATGTAAAGTTAGCAAGAAGATTGTTAAAATCGTGTAGTTAACTTCTAGCAAGCGCCTAAACATCTTCAACCCAAACCAATTTGGTTTTCTTGAAGGAAAATCAACTCTAAGTTGCTGTGTTGATTTGACTACAGGGCATCATTAAGAAATAAATTAAGACCCACTGATGTTATATTTTCAGATTTCTCAAAAGC